CAGTGGCATTCCATGAGCTGCTGCACTACTGCTGGTTCAGAGTAGAAACTATGCAGCTTTGGACCACCAAGCTGCCATCCTGGCACTGCTCTCGTTGGAGGCAGTGCTCCAAGTTCTCCTGCTGTTGCTGACACCTGACGTTGCCTAGGGAGGACTTGGCCACTGCACTCTGCTCCACCCCCTGTGCCACACACACACATGTGCAGCCCGCCACCCTTCCACCTGCCGTGCAAACGCACCATCCCATCTTGCACACTTCAGCCACATGGCCTTCCTCCTCCTCCCCCCACCAGATCCCATTCCTGCTTCCCCTTCCCCACCCTGCCCCCCATTGCTTTGGCCCCAATAGCCTGCCACCCGCCGCAGCCCTCCAGTTTGCATGAGGCTTTGCTTCCTTCGTGCACAACCCCCCATTGCTGTGCACCTTGTTGCACCCCTCTTTTGCAGCACCATTTAGCGATTTCCCCCCTACTAAAAGTACAGTTAGCTCAGAAATCCATATTGTTTTCAATTAGCATTTTAAATTAAAACACAGCCTTGCAGCCAGTGCTGTGAATCTTTATCACTGGACTGCGAGCTACTCCTGGCAGTGAATTCTCTCTCTGTACTATTGGTTTTGTAGCAGTCATTGTTACCTTCGCCTCAATATCCTTCTGGGTTCTCTGTATGTGTCCCTTTCTGGAATCTTACTTCTCATTGGGAAACCCCCTCACAACCTTTCCACTTTGCTTTTGTGTATAGAACATCTTATAATCTTACGTGGGTTAGAGTCTGATTCTGCAAATCAGCAGAGAGGATGGAGCCAGGCTGCACCCAGCGCTGCAGAGCAGCAGGACCAGAGGCTCACGCTGCAGCACAGCAGGTTCCCATGCAAAGCTGCCACCACCACGCTGCTTCTCTCTGCTTGCACTGGGCATGCTGCAGAGCACATGCAGACAGTGCATGCCCCAGTTTCCCTCTTCCACCCTTTCTCCAACTCCAGACCCTCTTTTCACCTCACAGAAGCCCCATTCACACCTTTCCCCCTGTAGATTCCCCACAACACCCCTACCCACCCCCAGACTTTCTTTCCACCTCTAGAAGCCTCACTAACCCCTTTCTTCCTCCCACAACCTCTCCTATCCACCCCTGGAGTAATGCAGAAGAATCTGGAGATGTCCTACAGTGGTTTGGGGCATGCGGGGGGTCCCCAGGTGGTTCCAGGGGGTCCTTGGATTCATCCAGAAGGGTCTGGAGATGTCCAAGTGGGGTCTTGAGGGTGTCCAGGGGGTCTCCAGGATAGTCCTGGGGATCCCTTGAAGGATCTGGAAGCTCCCAGGATGGGCTCAGGAGCTCCAAGGAGCCACTGGGATGATCTGGAGATGTCCCACCAGTAAAGTCTGGTATGGGCCAGAGAGTCCTCGTGTGGTCCTGGAGTCATCCAGAAGGGTCTGGGGATGTCCCAGTGAGAACTTGGAGGGTCCAGGGGATCCTCATGTTGATCCAGAGAGTCCTTGGATTCATCCTGTGGAGTCTGCAATGTCCCAGAATGATGCTGTGGGGTCCAGGGGGTTTTCAGGTAGGTTCAGAGGGTCCTGTTGTCTTCTGGAAGGGTCTGGAGATGTCTCAGAGATGTCCGGGGGTGTCTAGCAGGGTTCTGGACTCATCTAGAAGGGTGTGGATCTGTCCCAGAGGGGTGTTGGGGTGACCAGAGGGTCTCTAGTGGTTCCTGGTGTGCTGTCACTGAGCCTCTTGCTGTCCTTTGTCACTCCTCCAGGCCTGCCTACAGCCAGACTGAGTGACACCGGAGCCCTCTGGTGCCCATCATCGTCCGACACGAGGACGGGGACACGCATGGTGGTGAACTCTGTGCCACCACCAGAAGAGACTGCATGTGACATCAGCGTGGCACAGCCATGGCACGGTGTCATAGTCATTGTGCATCGTTTTGGCAGCTGGCGTCGGGTGTCACCGTCATGAGGGGGGACAGAAGGACCCCGTGGGGACATTGCGCAAAAGCTGGGGACACCTTCCTGGCACCCTGGTGGTGTCACATCCCGGAGTTGGGGACACCCCCACCGTCTCAGACCCCAGAGTTGGGGACACACCCCTAAGGGGACCCCATCTGTGCCCTCCCCCACAGACCACATTGTTTCCATGGGGCGGGGGTGACCCCCCTTACCTTTGTAATTAAGGTTTATTTTTTGGCACGTCGTAGCACCTGAAGACGAATGAGCCGGTTCCTCAGGAGGTGACAATCCAAGAGGACGCTCTCTGGCACGCAGCGCTGCACCACGTGCGGCGGGACAGCGGAGGCTCACGAGAGCCAGGTAGACCTGGATGCAGATTGCAATCCGCCCGGCAGAGACCTCTGGTCGCCTCCGCGGACCGGACGAGCCGCTCGGGGCCGGGTAGACCGTGTGCAGTCCGGACTCCGCTGCGGAGCGACCGGGTCGGTTGTCTGTGGTTCGTTCGTTCAATTCGTCCGCACGCCGGGCTCGCCCCGAGCCTCTCTCCCGGCGGGAGGGCAGCTCGCTGGCGGACAGACGGTCGCTCGAAGGGGGGGGGGAGAGAGGAAGGTGAAAGATGGAAAGATGAGTGAGCGACTACAGGCGTGAGGACGAACGCGTCCATCCTCGCACACCCGCAGCCCCGGTGCGGCCCGGACCGGCACCTCCAAAGAAAAAAGAAGAAAGAAATGGAAAGAATGCGCGTGGCGGGCTGGGGGTGGGTCTGCGGTTGGCTCGGGGGGTGCGGGGACCGGTCGAGCCATCGGGTCTAGCCCACCGGAGGGAAGCGAGAGAGAAAAACA